CCGCTCCCCCCCCCGCCATGGCGCTCGGTTGACTTCTGCACCGCTCAGCCAGGCTTTTGCAGGGGAGCAAGCAGAGCAAGCAGCTGTTTGGGCTCCCCTGCGGCGGCCTAGCTGAGCAGCGCAGAAGTCAGTTGAGCGCCATGGCGAGAAGCAAAGGGGGACAGGGCGGTAACGTACACGGCCGGGCCCTATCCCCTTCGCCTCCCACCATGGCACTCAGCTTGCTGCAGGGGAGCAAGTGACGCAAGTGGCTGTTTGGGCCCCGCACTCCCCATACTGCACCCCCGTGCTTCATGGGGACCATGGCGCCCAAACGGACACTTGCACCGCTTGCTCCCTTGTGGCGGCCTGGCTGAGCAGCGCAGAAGTCAGCCGAGCTCCACGGTGGGAGGCGAAGGACGTGACACGGGCAACAGCGCTGCCCAGAGGGAACAACCAGGGAGGCAACAGCACCACCCAGACAGAACAGCCAGCATTTCAGCGTTACAGAGTCACAGACATCGGGCTACTATATATATGATAATGCCCTCGCTCCTCCTTTTCCCCCCTTTTAAAAATGAGCACTGCATTAGACCTTTTCCAGTCTTCTAGGACCTCTCCTGTCATCCATGAGTTGGTTAAACTACATTGCCAGGAGTTCTGAGATTTCTTCAGCTAATTCTTTTTAGTACCCTTGGATCAAGAGCATTTGGCCCCACAAATCTGAATTAATTCAAATTGGTCAGAATAGCTGAGATTTTCTTTATTTATCCCAATCTGCATCTCTTTATGGTCTGTGGTATTTTATCTAGTTGTGTATGTGTAGACTGAAACAAAGAAGACATTGAGCAACTTTCCTTTACTATCATCTTCCATTACTAGCTCAACCTCTCCACTGAGCAGCAGATTTACACCTCATCTTTTTTGTCTGACACACCTGAAGAACACCCTCCTGTTGTCTCTAACACTTCTTGCCAAGTGTAATTCATTCTTTGCCTTGGCTTTCCTGACTCTTTCCACACACACTCCTTTGGTCCATACTAAGGTCCCCTGTAAGGTGCACACCTGCAGAGACACGCACCAAGAATTTCATTCCCTCCCCCCTCAGTAGAGCCATGCAGCTGTGGCCCCAGCTGCTCCCAGGGGGGAGCTGTGTGGTGGGCTGCTGCCCACCCCAGGAGCAGCTGGACAGCCACCATGCAACCTGCCAGAGCTGGAGCCTGGGCCATGGTACTAAAAATAGCACCATGGCCTAACTCCAGTCCTGGCACATGCGGCAGCCACCCGCTGCATAGCCCGGCCTCTGGTAGCAGCTGGGGCCGGGACCACGGTATTAAAAATAGCACCGCAGCTCTGCTTTGAGCTGGGCCACGGTGCAGCTGCTCCTGGGAGGGAACCACAGTATTAAAAGTAACATCACGGCCCTGGCTCCAGCCCTGGCACATAGGGCAGCCATCCACCATGCTGCCCCACCCAGCAGGTGCAGCTATCAGGATGGCAGAAGGTAAGTGAAAGGGCAGGGGGATAACTAAGGAGAAAGTGGGGGTGAGGAGAGGAATGGGTTTGTGCTGAGGGGAGAGGAAGGGGCCAGGGCAGTAGAAGAAAGGGGAAGGCACCAAGGGGCAGGGTGGAGGAGAGACAAATGCCGAGAGGAGACAATGAAGGAAAAGGGCAGGAGGAGTGGAGGTGGTGGGGAATAGGAAGGTGTTAGTGGGGGTGGGAGTGGAGAAGGGAGAGGGTGATGCTGGGAGAAGAGAGGGGAGAGGTAATGGGAGCAAGAGGAAGGAAGAGAAGAGGGGAGCAGTGAGTGCTGGGAGAAGAGGGGTGGGCATGAAGAGCAGAGTTTGGAACAAGTCATGTGTGAGGGTGCAGAGGGGCATGAGAAGAACTGGAGCAGAGGATAGTGCGGGGGTGGACACCAGGGAGGAAGAGGGCAAGGAAGGCAGGTGCTGTGGGGGAGGGTAGGGGCAGTGATGGAAGGGGGAGGCACCAGGAAGCTACAAGGGTTAAGGTAAGGAGCAGGTTCCAGGGTGATTGTGGAGGTGATGCAGAAGGCAGACATGGGGAGGGGTACCAGAGGGCAGAGGAGAGAGGCAGGGCAGGTGGGTAGAGCGAGGTGGTAGAAGAGGGACTGGAGAGGAGAGGTGGGGGGGAGGGAAGAAAGGGGGGAAGGGCAGGTACAGAGGTTAGAGGAAGGCAAGGTGGGGCAAGTCCAAGAAGGGCTGAAGGGAGTGAGAAGGGCAAGAGCCAGGACAGCAAAGGAGGTTGGGGGGGCAGCAGCAGGTACCAGGGGAGCCGATGGGAGGAGGGGAGGATGGGAGACATGGCAGCAGAGGGGGAAAAGGGAGAGGATTATAACTTCGGTGCCACAGTGGCACACATCCGAACAAGTGCACATGACCTTAATATTGGTGCACAAGACAAAACTCTCTCCGCTCATGGATGAAAAATCTCAGAGGGAACAATGGTCCCATCTGCTCATGTTATTCCCATGTATACTTCCTTGGTAACATGCCCCTCCTTCCATTTTCCTGTATGTATCTCTTTAGGGTTTTACATAGCTAAAAAGCTCCTTGTGCAACCACAATGTCCTCCAATGGCTCACCTATTCTGATGCAGAGAAAAGATAAGCTTGATGTTGAGCCTCTAGTATTAAATCTTTTAGAAACTGCCCACCCCTTTGACTCTTTTTCTTCCTAATTGTTCTTTCCATGGAGCTTGCCTACTATTTCTTTGAGTCAATTGAAATCTACCTTACTGAAGTCCAATGTCTTTGTTTTGTGGTTTTGATCTCTTCCCTTCCTTAGACTCTCTAATTAACAGCCCTAGATAGAATTAATCACAGTTAACTCATGATTAATTAAAAAATTAATCATGATTAAAAATTGCAATTTTAAACAGACTAAGACAGTAGCATGCCAATTGAAATTTATTAAGTATATTGGATGTTTTCTACATTTTCAAACGTACTGATTTCAACTACAACACTATATTTTTTATTATAAATATATGCACTGTAAATTATAAAAGTAGCAAATTTCAATTCACCTTATACAAGTACTGTAGTGCAATCTTTTTATTGAGAAAGTGCAACTTACAAATGTAGTTTTTTACAAATGTATTTATTTCTCTAAAAAAAATAATATGAAATTTTAAAGCTTATAAGTGCACTTAGTCCTACTTCTTGTTCAGCCAATTGCTAAAACAAACAAATATGTTTATATTAATGGGAGATACCACTGTTCTTATTTACAATGTCACCTGAAAGTGAGAATGGGCATTCTCATGACTATTTTGTAGCCAGCATTACAAGGTATTTAAATGCCTGATATATTAAACATTCATATGCCCCTTCATGGTTGCACCAATTGAGGCTGTGCTTCTATGGTAATGATGCTCATTAAAAATAATGTGTTAATTACATTTGTGACTGACCTCCTTGAGGGAGAATTACATGCCTCCTGCTTTGTTTTACCTGTAGGGTGCCATATATTTCATAACATCACGATCTCGCTAGCATGTCCTTACCGCCCCTCAGGGAGAGGCAATCAAGGAAGCTCTGCATGCTGCCCCAGTGACAGCTCTGCACCTCACTGTGACCAATAGGAACTGTGGAGGTGGCACCTGCAGGTTCAGGCAGCATGCATCATGGAATGCTGCCTGTCTCCTCTGCTTAGGGGCTGGGGCATGGCAGCTGCTTTCACAAGTAGCTCAAAGCCAGGGTGAGCAGGTAGGGAGCCTGCCACCCTACTGCACGACTTACTGGGAGCCACCTGAGATAAAGTGCTGCCTGGTCAGAACCTGAACTCCCTACCCCAGGTCTGAACCCTCTCCTGCATTGATACCCCAACCCTGAGTTCTCTCCCACACTTAATCTCCCTCCCAGATCCTGCAGCACAAACCTCCTCTCACACCAACTGCCTGCGCCCCCTCCTACACCCCACACCCCCATCCCAGAGCAGAGCCCCATTCTGCACCCTGAACCCCTCATTTCTGATAGTACCCCAGAGCCTTGGGGAAGCCTGGAGCCTCCAAACCCCATGGGATATTGGGGGGAGGGAGGGGAGATTCCTTTTGGGTCAGTAGCCCAGATAAAAAAAACAGATTCTCTACCCCAGCCTTAGACACTAAGGCCTTCAGCATCATGACCTCTTTTTTTTTTTTTTTTTAAACTCTGATCATCATGTACAGGGCAGCATCATGACCTCTTTTTTTTTTTTTTTACTCTGATCATCATGTACAGGCATAGGATTACAGAAAACATAATAAAATTGATCTCTGGCAGAATGCTAATGATGATCTGTTTACACAGATTCTGAGTGACTCTTGCAAGCACTAGAGTTTGCTACTGGCAAACTTTTGGGAGCTCTCACAGATGGGTCAGATGAAAATCCCCAGAATCAAAGATCATGGGGAGCTCCCCAAGAACATAAAGGGAAATTCTTAGGTACAGTTAGGTAGGAACTTCCACATAATTAGGACCTCTTGTGGATGCCCTTAGAGACAGATAGATCTAGGATACAAAATCAGAGGAAAGACAGCTGGAGCCTGACTTTTCAGAAATGATTAGCACCCTCATCTCCTACTGATTTCAACTAGAATCAGTGGTGTTAATACCTGGCCTTCAGACTATTTAATACCACCAAATAACAATGACAGTTCTGTAGCACTTTGTGCTTTTCTCCAAATGTCTCAAACCAAACCACAAGCTACTGCATAAAGTTCACTTTTCTTCCACCAGCACTGATTAGTCCATCCTAGTGTCACCTCTTCTATAGCTCCTACAGCTCTACAGAATGTGCAAACAAACTAGTCCTCCAAGGACCATGCTAGCAGTATCTCCCAGTGAAATCTCCATGACACACACAAGCATTGTGTAGAATAGGAGACTTACACTCCAACAATTTACCATGAGTGTCAGATAATAAAGCAGGCCATTTCTTTATGTTCCTTAGTTCCTACCTGGTACCAGAATAACTAAGCCCCACAGAGGATGCTGCGAATAGTTCACTGGCAGATAAGTAATATGGATTTCCAAGCAGTCACAGCAGCACACAATAGGTTTCTGAATTTCCAACTCTGCTCACTGAATCTAAATGTCCTCTCTTCGTTGACCAGAATGCCTGCCCAAAACCCCTGGGATTTTTTGTATTCCACAGGGAGGAACAGCAGGTAAACCCTTCTCAAATCAGATAAGGCAGCTTGAAAGCAGCCATATAACCCTGACATTCATGAGGAAAAAGACCCCCTTGATAGTCCCTGCAGATGACAGTGGAGATAGGTGATCCTGTCTTCCCCATTTTGTCAGTATGGGTAAGGAAGAGGCTAGGAGATCACTAAAGTTCTGCATGTCAGTTTCCTCTATGATCTTTGGCACTAGTAACTGAACTGAAGCTGTGTGTTAAATAGGAAATGTGGTCCCAGCAGCACATTGCCAAGTTCCCGTTCGCAGCCATACTGTATATACCTCACCCAAATCCCTAACCCCTGTACCTAGGTCCAGAAGCTTGCATTACAAAGAGAGGGAGAACATGGGCTAGAGATACTTTTTCTTTCATCCCATCTGCTGCACTAGCTGGGTTTCAGCTCACCTGCTTTGGCAAAGTCATCCCGATTATAGCTCAGGTCCTTCAGAAACGTGATGCTTTCAGTCTCTGGATTGTAGCGCCGGGAGGTCTCCAACAGCATCACCTAAAACAAACCAATCCAGGGAGATACACTCAGAGCTTGACTGTGCATCCAGAAAAAATGTTACAGAACCTACAGCTTATCCTGGAGCATCAATGTAGAAAACTCACCGCCCCCCGCCCCCAACCCGTATCCCTCTAAATTACAAAGTAAATCCTGTCCAGTCCTCTGTGGTGTCTTCCTCAGAGATAATTTGCAGCTGGGAACTCTACACAGCCAGTGCTCTTGCCCCATTGGCTACTGTGTCCCATGCTTGGAAAGGATAGCACTGGAATAATGGTTCCATATCTGAGGTTCCTTGCATCTCTCCTCCCCAAGGCAAGTGCTCAATTGAGAATCCAGTCCACCCACCAGAGAATCATTCTTCTCTACTGATATCAACTGTGATGGGCCTAGATTCTTACTTCTATGGTAGATGTCTTCAGGAGAGCAATCTGATCTTCCCTAGTGAGCTCCAGAAAGCCGGGCAGCTGCTTGGCAAAGTCCACAATCTCTTGCACAGAGATGATTGCAAGCTCAGTGAAATGAGCAAAACGCTGCTGCCGTGCTTCACGGTTATGAGGGTCTGGAGCTTGAGGCCATGGCTGGGCGGGAGAGAAGACACACAGAGGATGAGAATGGCCAGTGAAAAAAAGGAATAAATATAAATAATCCCTCAACACCCCAATATACAATTAGCATATGGGCCACCTCCCACGACACCCCTATACTTAACACTCAGTCACCACACACGTCCCCACACTTAGCAAATGGTCCCTGTTCCATGACTTCTCCATAAACTTAGTGCATGGACCCCAGGCCATGCCCCCCTACAGTTAGTGCATGGACCCAGCCTCCCCTTTCCCTCTGTATTTTGGAGTTAGCCCTTTAAGCTTGTACCGTCACTTTGAGCCTGTCTGTGAATGAGCGCTGGTTACACTGCTGCTGAGCTGCCACAAGCTTTTCTATCATGCCCAATTGCTCAGGTGTCAGTTTATGGGGGGTGTTGGGTGGAGATGGGGGGTTCGGGCGCACAACTACTGTCCGAGCCTGATCATCCTCCTGTTTCTTGAGTTTCTTAAGCCGGATCTGCTCTTCAGACAAAACACCTAAAAGGAGGAGACAGAAGAGACTGTAGTGAGAGAGTGAGCACTGATGCCAGAAAGAAGAGACAAATAGTAGACTCAACTGCCAGATACAAGGAAACAGAATGGACAGAACTGGGGAGGAAAAAGGCCCCTGCCTTTCTGTGCCAGAATACACACCCTACACGCAAGTGTAAACATCTTTGTACAAAATATGTTTTATTAAGATTCCATTTGGAAAAATAATAAACTGCTGCTCAATATCATCATGGTGAAATATAAGTGGCAAAATTATATGTGAAGTTTGATTTCCCCTTAATGATGTTGGTGGCATATGTTCAAACCCACATAGCCCAGACTGGGCAGAACAGGTCAAGCAGGTCTTAAACAAAGAAATGTGTGTTTACCTCAGTTTACACATGAGGTGTAAACAGGATCCTCCAAGAGCAAGAGGAGGAAAGCAGGAGACAAGGAAAATCTGCATTTCAGCAAACAGAGGTGAGAAGTAACAGCATGTAGCCTCTTTCACCCCAAACACCATGTTACCTTCTTTACTATTTGAATGAATTTTAATTACAGTAACCCTCAAGAAAATGCATTTCAAAGAGTAACTGAACTATAAAAGTGAGGGGCAGAAACACTCAAGTTATTTCTTCCCATCCATCTCTCTCTTCCACATAAGACCAAGGAAACACTATGGACTTTGGGACCAGATCTTGGCCTAAGAGTTTTATCAGTAACGTAGTGAAAACATGTGGTAAAGGATTTCATCTTAAGCCCAGTTTCCTTTATTAAGTGTTTTATCTTTATTTTTCTGGTAAGAGAGGGTTACTCACCCGCTGCGGCAACTGCCATTCTTTGAGATGAGTGTCCCTGTGGGTGCTCTACCTTAGGTGTTTTGGTGCCACAGTGCACCTGGCTGGAAGATTTTACTAGCAGTGGCTTTGACAGCTAGCTCACATATGCACAAAAGTACTACATGTGCTAGGCAGCAAATGCGCATGCGCGAGATATGATCTCCTCAGTTCCTTCTCTGTCCCAGAAAAGTATGGAAATAGTACCAAAGCAGAGGAGAGGAAGGGTGGGTGGTGGAGCACCCACAGGGTATAGCATAGTAGAGCCACCTTCATGGAAAGATGAAGCATAGAGCAGGTCACCACAGGCTCAAACAGCTGTTCCGTGCACTTGACCTTCAAATCATTCTGTCCAAATGCCAGCTCCTTTACGAGTTAAGGCCCTCAGAACCAAACTGAGGTCCCAGGTGGGAGCCAGAGATTTGACTGGTGGATAAATGTTCTGCAATCCTTTGAAGAACTTTTTGCTCATGGGATGTGTGAATAGTGATTTGCTATTGGCTGGTGTAAAGCGGTTATGGCTGAAAGGTGAACCTTCAGAGAACTGAGTAAAAGTCCTGAGATCTTGTGTTCGGTTATGTATTGCAGGACCATGGGCAATGGAGTGGAAGATGGGTCAAGATTGTGGAGGTGAGACCAGGTGGAGAATCGTTGCCATGTGTACAGTTAAGTTTTGCAAGTGGATGTTCTCCAACTGCTAAGGAGGATCTGTTGGACCTCATCTATGCATTCTGTTTCTAGTGAAGTGAGCCATTGAGGAGCCAGGCCTGAAGGTTCAGGGTATGGAGATGAGGATGCTGAAACAACAACATTGAGTAAGGTGATGTGGGAGCCAGTGGAGACATTGTGGGCGATCGGCTGACAATTGCAGTAGGTAGGTATACCATGTCTGTCTCAGCCAGTCTGGTGCTATCAGTATGACATTGGCATTGTCTAAGTGCACCTTGATGACTACTTGATGGAGAAGTGGTATGGGGGAAAAAGCGTTTAAGAGGGTCGTCCCCCAGTAAATTGTGAATGCGTCCCCTAGGGATTGTGTTCCAATGCCCACACGTGAACAGTAGCTTAGACTCTTTCTTGGCACTGGTGGCAAACAAGTTGATCTGCAGGAAGCCCCATTGTGTAAAAATCTGATGCAAGATGGTGGGGTCTAGTTCCCATTCATGGTTCGCAGGGAAGTTCCTGCGGAGATTGTCTGAGGTTTTGTTGTCTTTGCCGGGGAGATATGAGACAATTAACATTATATTGTGAGCATTGCACCAAGTCCATAACCAGACTGCCTCTCTGCACATGGGATAGGATCTCGTCCCTCCCTGCCTCTTTATGTAGAACATTGCAGTGTGGTTGTCTGTAAAGATCTGCACTGTGGAGTTGGAATTATGGTTCTCAAAATGTGGGTGGCATAGTATGCTGCTCGGAGTTCGAGTACATTGATGTGCATCGTGGTCTCTGTGTGGGTCTACCATGCTTGTGTGGTGAAAGTATCCAGGTGAGCTCCCCAGCCCTGCTGCAATGCGTCTGTGATGACGGTGAATGATGGGGCTTGCCTGTGGAAGTGGATCCCAGTGCACACATTTGCCCTTGTGACCACCATTGGAAGGAGCATCTGACCATGTTCAGAAGTAAGACCAGTTTGTGCAGGCTGTGTATCCAAGGTCTGCATACTGTGCTCAGCCAGTGTTGCAGAGGCCTTGTGTAATCTGGCATGCAGGACAACTCGTCATTGCTGTCATTTGGTCTAGTAGCTGGAGGCACGCCCTGGCAAGAAGTTGAGGGGCCGTGGTATGAAGTCGTACTAATTGTAGAATTGCGAGTTGCAGTAAGTTGAGGGTCAGTAACATGGAGTCAGCAGGCCTAAATAGAGGCCTGTAACATGAAAACAGCAACAGGCCTGCAATCTAGTGAGCAAGACTTTAAGCCCTGTGCAGGGTCCACTCAATGTGGACATGCTAGTTCGAATTAGCAAAACGCTAATTCGAACTAGTTTTTAGTTTTAGATGCGTTAATTCGAATTAGCTTAGTTCGAATTAACTAATTCGAACTAAGTTAGTTCGAACTAACTCTGTAGTGTAGACGTACCCTAAGTTAGGTAGAGCATGGAAGGACATAGGGAGGCACTGGGTACAGACTGTAAGCCAAAGGGGAGTAACGGAACATCTTAATAAGAAATGTCTTGGTACAAAGACTCCCTAAAAATTAATGCACATATTGACCTAGGTTCAGGACCGGGTCGGAATTGACAGCATGAAGGATAGTAAGCAAGCCCCCCTTCCGTAAGGTGAGGGGTGGTAACTAGGCAACAGAGGGTGGTAACCTGGTGCGTAAAGAAATGATGTAAGTTGTTTGTACCTGTTTATAAAAGGACACCGCAGAGTGTGCTCTCCGGCCGACCTAGGAGGGGCGCACTAGGCGCCTGAATGGCAGGGGTCATTGCCTAAACTTACAGAATTCACAGTTGCTTAACTTTGACTAACTGCTGTTAATATCTGATATATGGCAATAGGCCTGTGTGGTGTTGGTACCTTGTCAACGCAGGCCATAGTGCCCAGTGGTGTAACATTGTACTGATCTCTGTTACCAACTGGTAGAGCTTCGCATTTGACAATAAACCTGCTCGATTGATTTCAAACCTTGCCTGCATCTGTCATTTCCGGAGCCTCTCAGAGATCTCTTGTGTTGACCCAAGTGCACGGGGTCTAACACTCTAGATAAAGGGAGTACCAATTGTTAAGCACGCAGCCGAAAGTTTATCATCACCGACAGAGTAGAGGTCCTGTCAGGAGCGCGCCAGGACGACCCTGACCAGACGACGCTGACACTGACAGTCCAGACCACCGAAGGTACCGAGGTACGAAAACACCGAGGTACGACATCAGGAACCTCTGATGGGGTAAGGATGCAATAGCACAGATGCAATCAAGTTGAGCTCCTATAAACTTTAGGACTTGGGTTGGCTGGAGCTGGCATTTGGATAGGTTGATTTGGAGGCCAAGTGCACGGAACAGCGCCATGGTGGTCGTGACCAAGTCCTGAGTTTCTTGGAATGACTTGCCCCTTCCCTTATAAGACAGTCATCGAGATATGGTAGATTGACACTCCATGTCTTTGCAGGTGGACCGCCACAACTGACAAGACCTTGGAAAAGACCCTTGGCGCCATGAACAGGCCAAAAGGTAATACTGTAGACTGGAAATGTCCTCCTGCTGTGAATCCTTAGGTCCCTCCTGTGTGCAGGGTGTATGGACACATGGAAGTATGCAGCTTGGGGGTCAAGAGTTGCCAGCCAGTCATCTTTGTTGAGGGAGGGTATGATGGTGGAGAGGGTAACCATTTTGAAGAGTTAGAACGAGACGTATCTGTTGAGAGCCTCTGAGATCGAGATTGGGTCTCCAGCCCCAACTTCTTCTCTGAGAGAAAATATCGGGCAAGAGTCACCAGTCAGTCATCTTTGTTGAGGGAGGGTATGATGGTGGAGAGGGAACCATCTTGAAGCGTTGGAACAGGATGTATCTGTTGAGAGCTCAGACTGAGAATGGGTCTCCAGTGCCCTGACTTCTTCTCCGTGAGAAAATATTGGGAGTAGAAGCTGGTGTTTTGATATTGTTGTGGAACTCTTTCCACTGCATTTATATGGAGCAAGTGGTCAATCTCTTGATGTAGAATAGTCTCGTGAGATGGGTCCCTGAAGAGGGACAGGGTGGGTGGGTGGGTTTTGGGAGGAGATAGGAAGGGGATGCAGTAACCAAACGTTATCACATCCAGAACCCATTTGTCTGTCATTATGAGGCACCATTGATGGTAAAACGGTGTTAATCTGTGGTTGGATACTAGGGTGATCAGAGGCTCGGGTGTGAGAAAATGAATCTGACGGCTCTCAACCAGACCTTCAAAATCTTTGCCTAGAGTTAGAGGACTGAGATGGAGTGGGTTGGTAGGCTGGCTGTTGCCTTCTCCCCTGTCACTGGCATTTTCTAGGGCTGTATTGTCTTTGAGAATGACCAAAGAGGGAAGGTGTGTATCTTTGAATGTAAAGATTATGGTAAAAATATAACAAAAAAGGCAAACTAAGTAAAGGAAAAGAAAAACTAAGACTAGCTGTCTCTCTGAGGAAAAAACTGCAGAGCACACTGCGGGTTCCAACCGACAACAGTGGCGGCAGAGAAGGAATTG